GCCCTGTTGTTATATAAAATATTTTCTTGTGTAAGTCTATCTGTATGAAGTTGAGAATCTTCATTTCTTAATAACCACTTCTGTTTTATTTACTGTGAGTGAACAAAGTCAAATACTTTGTATCTGTTTTTCTGTTGAATTGTGTAGGCTACTGCTTAGTTTAAGTGATGAATATTTGTACATCATGTATTTAAAATGGTATTGAATATATATCACCAGTTAACTTTTAGTAAATTTTTAATTGCACGTTATTATGTCATTTAAATGTCCTGCCTGGATTGCACCCTACCTGGAAATCAGATATGTACTCTTTCTTGTATTATGGATACACCCTTTCCTACTGAAGTAAATATGGTTCAGCACCTAGCTTTTCCTCCTTGTCTTTGTATCATAAATGTTTCCCAAATCTACCTACCTACCTTCCTTCCTTCCTGCCTGCCTACTTACCTACCTTCCTTTCTTTCTTTCTTTCTTTCTTTCTTTCTTTCTTTCTTTCTTTCTTTCTTTCTTTCTTTCTTTCTTTCTTTCTATGTATTTGATTGTTATAGGCTCTCACTACGTAGCTCGGACTCATAGTGATACTCCTGTCCAGCCCCCACCCCCAGCACTAGCATTACAAACATATGCCACTCTGCCCCCAGACTCTGTGGCCGATTCAGCCCACCCTGAGGGTGGGGCTGGCACAGCGTGTGGTACTGTTGCTGTGTGCACCTAAGCTTGCCTAAGCAGGCGCTTTAGCCTGCTGAGCTATCTCACCGGCCCTAAGTCTTTAATACCAGTTTTTATTATTTTTAGGGAAATATACCTTTTCATTATACAACATGCCATCATTAATCTTTCTCCTACTGTAAAATATTTAAACTGTACCATTGTTTCTAAACAAGCATACAAGTTCATTTAAATTTTAATGCAATAATATATCAATATAAAATATTTTAATAAAAATGGTAACAGATGTTTGTACATGGTAGTCACACATTATCTTGTCAGGAGATGAATGTTTTTAGAATTCTTGATTTTAAATACCAGTGCCAGTATGAAATGCCATAGGCAATGTATGAATTTATTATTTTTAATCTTTAGAATTTCCAGATATTAAACAATACCTGCTTCATGTATCTCTGTTTTCTATGATTTTTTTTTTCGGAACCAGGGATTGAACTCAGGACCCTGTGCTTGCCAGGCAAGCACTTATTCTACTGAGCCATCTCCCGGCCCCAGTGATTTTTTTTCATTCCTTGCATTTTTCATTTGTTGTGTACTGCTACACCTTATACAGAAAACACGAGGAAAGTAAAGAGTAGAGATCAGATTGAGGAGCTGTGCCCTGTCTAGTTTGGGAGTGAATTCTAACTGTTGGAGAATGAGTGTTTGGTGATCTGTGTCCCTTTCCCTGGTGGGCAGGTCAGTCTTGGAGACGCTTTTTGAGCGCAGGGCTTCATCTGGTGCTAGAGTTGAGGACCTGGCCCTCAGAGATGACAGTGAGACCCGGACTGCCAAGTTCAAGAGGAAAGACTGGAGTCTGAGCAAGTCCCAGGTCATTTCGGAAAAGGCTGCAGACCCCGATCTGATGGTAAAGTATAAAATCAATTAAAAAACAGAAAGCACCACAGGCCCTCAATGCTGACCTCAGGGCAGGTATATCTCTGAGCCAGAGCTCCAGAGCAGTGAGTCCCCAGGTAGACAGGGGAAGCTTCGCTGTGGCTTACAGGTAGTGTCGGGTCATGGCGGGGGAAGAAAACCAAGTATGGGGCTGGCGAAATAGCTCAGTGGATAAAAGCACCGGCTTAGGTAAGCTTAGGCAAGCGCAGGGACCCTTGGTCGATCCCCAGCTCCACATGTCCTGAGCTGGCTACAGAATGGCACGTGCCCGTAATCCCAGCGCTAGGGAGGCCAAGAACAGAAGGATCACTGCGTAGTGAGACCCTGTAACAACCAACGACATTAAAAATAATAAAATAGAAAAGTGTGGAGACTGTTGGGCTCTAACTCAGTGCTGGCACAAGGCATCACGCCCACAATGCAACATGCAAGTTTGGTTGGCGTTGTGATTCCTGCCACTGTGTTCCCTGAGTCAGTCAAATGTCATTTCTCTTATCTTAAAAAAAAAAAAAGGTTCTTTTTCTTTCCATAAGCCACGTCAGGTCCTCCAGGGTAGTGACACCACCTTTCCCTGAGCATCAACGTGGCCCACTGCCCGCCTAGATAATAACCCAGCTGTGGTCAGAATGAAGCCAGCGGCCAGCTAGGAAAGATCCTGGCCAGTGCTTCGCAGCTAAGGGCTGTGCTGCAGCACCCCACACGTGCCCACGTGGAGCCTTAAACATGGCTCCTGGCATTAACCAGGCGGGATGCGGGACGTGGGGAGAAGGCAGAAGCGGTTCTGCTCAACAGACCAGGCTGTGGAGAGCATTGTTAGGTTGGCCTTCCTCACTGGGTGAGTTCTTCATTGTGTTTTCCTCCTTGATGCTAGAGCCCAGCCAGAAAAACACAAAGGCCGAAGAGTCTCCAGCTAGTCGACAGCCGGTTAACACCCTTCCACAGCTCTTCACCACCTCAGGCCACCACTCCCTTGAGCCCGCCACCGCTTACTCCGAAAGCGACCAGGACCCTCAGTAGGTGTCATGTGCCTCTCGTGTTGCTTATCTTAAGGGATGGAATATGTGTGCGAATCAGGACAATTTTTAATCAACATCTGAAAGTTTTCTGAGTGGTGACCCAAAGGTACTGAATGTCCTCTAGTCTGTTGCAAAGGTATAAATGAGACAGGGTCAGATTAGAACCAGGCAGAATGGGAGTGGCTTATGAAGCAGCTAATTACGGAGGAGCTCAGCCTGTGTGCAGACAGGAAGTGGACTCATTCCATATACAGCTTGTCCTCTGGCTTGAGGAACCAGCAGTCCACATTTAAGAACTACAAGGTGTCTGTAGCACAGATGCATGATGGGAAAATAAATTTGCCATTGCCAAATGGGACAGAATACTGAAGCAAGAGTTATGCTTAATTAGATCTTTGGAGCACGTGGGATGTATCAGACAACAAAGTAATACACTAAATTCCAGAAATGTCCTCATCTGCAGCTTAGTAGTCAAAACAAAACAAAGTAAAAACTGAACATAACATGGAAGTTTTACTTCAGAATTTCTTGTGAAGCCTTCTGGTGAGTGAAGCTTTCAGTCTTTACCATGAGGGCTGAGACATCTTAAGTGTCCGTAAAGGCCACCCATTAGCAGCTTGGTCGACCAGGCTGCTTTAGGTGTTACTGTGGTTTGTTTCTCTGAGATTCCTTGATAAATCCTCTGTCTACCTCCCTTTGCGTTGTGTCGTTTCCAGGCTCTCCATCTTTGCAGACAGATGGGCTGGTCACGTCTGTCCCACCTCCACCTCCTCCAAAAAGCAAGCCCTACGAGAGCAGCCAGCGGAACTCCACCGAGGTAGGGAGCCTCAGTGGGCAGTGCTGCCACAGGACACCTCCTGAGGGGACCACAGTGTATTCTCAAAGTTTTTGAGAGGAAAGGTTTTCCTACACGTTTGCCACTGGAGGAATCCTTGTTTTTTTTTCCCAAAGAGACAGGAAGAAGCTATGCAGGCAGACCCTTTCAGACTATGGGAAGCAGAATAGTTCTGTGCCCCTCACCTGGGGACAGGTGGGGACATAAGCGAGTTCTAGCTCACACTGAAGAGTCACTTTTCATGAGTGAGAGACAGTTGTTCTGGAGTGGGCTCAGATGGGCTTCTTTCCTTCCTTCAGCAAATAAGTACTGACTGCC